AAAAAATAGGTAAAAAAATCGTATAAAGATATGTATATTTATTAAGTTGTCAGGTTTGTAATTAAAATGATAATGTTGTAAATAAAAAGAGTAAATTAACATTATGTAAATTAAAGTCTTAAATTGAATATTCTAGTAATTTTTCCTTTTTAAAAAAAAAATTAATTATTTTATCCACTTTAACATCTTTTGTATTTTGTTAAAAATAAAAATTAATAGTGAAAAGTGTTGAACAAAGTGAATTACAAATTCTTTTTTTATTTCTTTTTAAATTTAGTTTTAAGCATTACTATAAGCATATTAAAATGAGGTATACCAAGTCATCAACTTCTTGAGTCAAATTTTATAGTTCTAACTTTTATCTTTATTTAATATTTATCGACCTATTACTTATAGCATTATGTTAACAATGCATATAATAATTGCCTCATTTAAATGATGTTTTCCAATGTTGAATTGATAAAATCTTACTTAAAACTAGTAACTGAAAAAACAATATTAAGTACTAATAATTTTCATCTAAATAGTGTAAAAATAAATAAATTATGAATAAATATGTATATGAAGTATATTTATATTTTAGGCCACGAATTGAAATTTCATTCTAGGCCCCCAATTACGTTGAGCCGCCCCTGCTTCATATTGTGACAAAAGTTGGTAGAATTGGCGTTTGGTATTCTATTGATACTTTCTATATCTATATAATATTATCTTCACACGAAAATACTATCCCTACATAGAAATATATTGGTCATGTCAAAATCATTTAGTGGTGTCTTAGCAGTTCACCATCTCTCTGGTATACTGTTAACATGGGATTTGACGATCGAGAGCGTTACATATTTATTATTATTACTTTTTTATGTTAAATTTTTGGTGGCTTGCAGGGCCTTTTAATAGTTATGAATCCAAAATTCTGTACAAGGCCTTTGGCACAAATTGAAAAAACCAAAACAAATGAAAATTAAGGTAGAATCTTGAAGATCCGACCCAACAATTATCAGCTTCTTTGACTATTTTTTTTTTTTTTTTCCATCCATCACATTTCTGCTTTATGGGCGGGGCGCTTGCAGGGCCTTTTAATAGTTATGAATCCAAAATTCTGTACAAGGCCTTTGGCACAAATTGAAAAAACCAAAACAAATGAAAATTAAGGTAGAATCTTGAAGATCCGACCCAACAATTATCAGCTTCTTTGACTATTTTTTTTTTTTTTTTGTCCATCCATCACATTTCGTCTTTATGGCCGTTGCCTGTTGCTGGCCTAGCACCAGGCTAATGTTCGGTAGGTTCTACGTGATCATTGATATCATTAGATTATATATGTTACTTATATAACTATATAATTTGGTATGATATTATATCGTTATTGAATATCAAAAAATTTAAAATGTATACCATTATACCATACAAGTACCATAATATCAAAATCACAGTATCAAAAATTTGAATATAAATAGTAATTTGGTATATACCATACCATGTCTACCTCTACCCGTCACTGCTTTTTTTGGTAAAGGGGTTGTGTCCCATGGCTCTCGTGTTTGTTTAGTTGCTTTATATGTCCCTCTGAAAAAGTCGATGGTAAAAAGTTAAAATTATTGGATTAGTTTAATCTCTTTGTTTAAGCATTATAGCAAGTTGTTAACCAATATAATGACATTTGCCTAACAAATTGCCAGCCGTTTTTGAACGTTGAGCAATCTTGAGGACCACATGAACAATAATTTAGGATTTAATATTAGAAAACTACTCAATCCTGATTAACTCGAAGTCACTTGTGTTCTTATGAAGATAATGACGATAACAACAGAGTTTCAATCTGAAGTCAACTCATAATAATTCATTAACATTGAGGGAATTTGACAACAACAGATATTTCCTCCCTCTTCATAGCCGTGTGATATCGATTTTTAACAACTGATTTTAAAACATACATCATAAAATTACAAGCAAATATTACAAAGAGGATGATAAATAGAACCAACTGGCAAAAAGAAACATGTGGTAACAAAAAAATACTGATAATTCTGTTGGCAGAGTTGGAATTGAAGAAGAATGGCAGAGCTCACTTCCAGCACAATCACAGCTCAATTTCACTGAACGAGGGATAACAAAAGCATGTGAGCCATTCCCTTACAACCCAACATTTTATTATTGTAATTAATGCAGCAAACATGTCTCGTGCACCATATACATTTATTAACTCACAAAATCAAAGGACAAGAATTGAGGATAATTAATAAACAACAAATGTGTAAGAGCTAAGAACTATCCAACCAGTCTGCTGGATCAGTGCCATGAATACTGGATCACCAGCTGGATACTGGATACTACCTCCAGTTTTTTTTCCGCGCACCCCTTAATAAAAGACTTCTTGTTTTCTTTCGCCAACAGACTAATAGCTGGAAGCAGAGGTAGTAAAGAGAACAAACTTACCAGATAAATATAGGGTCAAGAGTTTTTAAGTGTGTCACGCTTGGACGACATAGTCTATACCATTGCGCTTACGTTTGTTGGATCTTGAAAAGCAGCATATCTGAGCCCATGATTTCTTCTGCTTAACTGGCTGTGGCTTCGCATCCCTCTTTTCAACAAGATCAGCCATATGCTGCACAACAGCCTGATGAGTAAAATAAACGTTCATGAGTCATATATCAAAACTAAAACAAACAATTAAAAATTCAGAGAGCATAATGATAGTATAGTAAAAATAAAACTCAAACACACCTGTGCTCCCATCTCGATAATGTTTCCTGGTGGCACTTCAAGAGGATTTCCTTCTGTCTTTAGTACACGCAAATGCGAAAGCATCCTAAATGAATCTGGTAGAATTCGTATCTGGTTGTTACTCATATCCAGCTCCTCAAGCATCTCAAGGTTTCCTATGGATCTAGGGAGTGATTGCAGGTCCGCAAAGTTGTTGCTAATGTTCAGTTTTACGAGTGTAGTGGCAAAGCACAAGCTCTCAGGCACTGACTCAAGCTCATTGAAACTAACATTGAGCTCTTTCAAACTTGTTAAGGATGCCATAGTTGTAGGCAATTGCCTGATGTTATTGTACCGCACGGATAGAATCTCCAAAGAACCCATTCGCCCCAAGGCTTCAGGAAGAGCTTTAAGACGGTTATAGTCAGCACGGAGCTCTTTCAGCGAAGTACATTGACCAATAGTGTGAGGAAGTTCCTCTAGGTCATTAGTCTCAACGATCAGTTTTTTGAGACTGACAAGGGATCCCACTGCCTCGGGGAGTACAGATAGCATGTTAGAGCTTAGATCGACTTCCTCAAGGTGAGTTAACCTCGCTAAAGTCAAAGGCAACGTCTTCAGGTTATTGCCATTTAGATCAAGATAGACCAAGTTAAGCAGATCTCCTATTGAATCAGGAAGTTCAACAATTCTATTTCCATGCAAATCTAGTTTTTGCAACGATGAAAGACCCCCGCTGGTAGTTGGCAGCACAGCAATTCGATTCTCAGACAAATCCAAAGTCACCAAATTTGATAGCTTCCCAAGTGAATCTGGAATCCATTCTAATTGGTCTGACAGTTTTCTTCGAAGAATTAGCTCCTTGGTTCCTTTTTTGGCTGAAACTTCTATCAAACTAGCAAGCTTTATCAAGCTCATTTTTTCACCATTTTGACCTACAGATAAATGGCTTCTCCATTAAACTAATAATTTTCATATTATAGGAAACAAAATTTATCCAATTAAGCTAACAAAGTATAAAAAAACACATTGGTCACAAGCAATATGTTACAGGAAATAGATTAAACTTACCAGTACTACGCTTCAAAGTGGTATCGACAATCTGGGGAGCAGAAGAAGCGTTCCCAGATCGAAGCCCAACACCGATTCCATCCATTTGAAACGCAGTTGTCGGCTTCTTCAAGTAACTGTCGTCTCTTGTAACAAGTTCAGACACTTTAACAGGCTCTTTCTCACTATAAAAGCTCGACGAAGACATAGTCGTAGTAGTTGCCGGAGAATTGAAACTGCTACCGTTGAAGGAAGATGAATTCGCCAAAGACAAATTGCTGGAATTCCTTGAAGAAGCTGAAGAAGTATTATTAGCTTGAGGATTAGATGACAAGCATTTCGAAGCTCTTTGAATCAATTCATCGAACAGGTAATGAACATTTTCGAGATCTAACAATTTTAATGCCTCTCTCTTCTGTTCTTTACTCTGAAAATAAACTAAATTCCTCTGCATCTCTTGCAATATTTTGAATACCTCTTCTGGTACATCTTTTCTTTTGTTTTGCCGCGCAATTGTCTCTAACTTCATTTGTTCCTCCTTCTCCATATTCATAATTAAAACTTTTGCTGCTTCCACTTCATCTATCCCTGGCCTTATTGGTAGAGATTTGTTAAGCCTCATCATCTCTTCCACAATCTCGTCAACAGACATTGCAGAGGATCCCATTTCACTCTCAATTTCGTCAAAAAAAAAACACACACACACACACACACAGCTACACACAGAAACCACCCACAGTATCCAGATTCGAATACACTTTTTTGGGGGTTTAGTTTCCAAGAGTCCTAGATAAAAAAAAACGAAAATATTGAGAAAGCCATAATTGAGTTCTTCCTCTTTACAACTTTCTAGAAGCGCCAATCAATATTGACAAGAATACAAATGTTAATCCAATCAAATCAAATCAAATCAAAATAATAGTAGTTAAGAAACAAAACTTTACTTGTTTTTCGTGTTTTATACAGTGAAAAACGAGTGTTTATGATGGAAACAGGGCAGCATAAAAAAAAAGATGAGAAAAGCAAACCCCACTTAGGATTCAGGAACAGAACTCAGTTATACTATTCACTGACATTTTTTCTTTAACAAGAAACTGGAGCTATAAGAAGAAGAGTTGTGTGAGAGAGAAAATGGAGAGTTTTTGGTTTGATGGAAAATCCAACCATAAATACATCGAAGGGGTTACAATTTATTTATACAAAAAAAAAAATCTCCACAGCTGTTGCCTGTTGTTGCTAGAAATGGTAGGTTGATGTATTATTAGCACTTGCCAGTGTGAGGGATGAATTTATAAATAACATAATAAATCCTTTGTTTATATATAATATAAAATTATATATCGCAATTCTTAATATTTATGAAAGTTTACGTAATTTGAATTTTAATAAAATAAAAAATGTAATAGCATAATTGGGATGATAAATTCATAGAAAAGAAGCAAACAGTGGACTTGATTATGACTTATCGGTTATTAACGACTGTGTCGATCAGTTTGTTTTTATATTTTGATTTTTGGTCCACCATCTAAATGCCAACAACGGAAGAATTTTTTTTTATATATATGGCATCAAATATTATTATTTTTATTCTATATTAGTTGATCATCTTACTAAAATAATTATTTCTATATTAGTTGTCATTAATTAGATATTTTATGTATTACTCTTGCAATTAATTTTTAGAAAATATTTACATTTATTTATAAAATTTTCAAGATATGTTGTAAAAGATGAATTGGTAAAATTATTTTTTAATTTTGATTTCTTAATATTTTGTAAAAAACAATCAGTTAATATAGGACGGAGGAGTATTATTTTGATAGTTAAAGCTACTAGTATTTTCAATACCGACAAATATTTGAGTGGTATTTAAGTGAAATAATTATTTTCTTACTCATAAATTTTGGTCATGTAATTTATTCACTATAAATAGAAAAAGGTCTGATATTAAGTACTACTTTTTAATTGTGTAGTAGATATATGTCACGTGTACAAAATAAATATAAGAGGGCAAAAGTTTTACCTGCTACTTTTATAAAGATTTATTTATTTATTAATTAATTTATTCTTACACTAAATGAATTTTTTGAAATTTAAGTTAAAGTATCTTTAACCTAAATCGTTTTGTTAGTGATTCTTCAAGAATTCTTTTATTTATTTCAACATTGTATTTGTTTCCCTCTTTATTTCTTTATAAAAATAGATTTTAGTTGTTGTGTTCTTATTTGAAGTTGTGAATGAAATCAATTTTCAAAATTTGAATATTTCACAATTTTTATTTATGCTTACTTTTTAGAATAATTTAAAATGTTAATTAAAATATAAATAAAATTGAAAGAGTATTATAATACATATAAATATTTTGAATTTGATATTATTTAGTATAAAAATATTATTTTTTAAAGAAATAACAAGAAAAATGATCTTGTATATGTGGTGGCATATATTTATCATACCAACGAAAAGTAATGAAGATTGGAGGGGATTCTTTTCCCTTTTATTGGATAGAAGTAATTAAACTTTACCAAAAAAAAAAAAAACACTCCTAATAAAGACACGTAATTTTACCCACCATAACAATAAAAGCACAAACAACTTTTTTCGAAATTAAACCAACTGAAGTTATCACTAATTCTAACAATAAATACTTCTTTTTAAAAATTTCGACCGAACATTATCCACGCTTATTTAATTGTTTTAAATTTGTATTTGTTTGTAAGGGAGATTATACTTTATACATTGATAAATTAAAAAAATAAATAAATTATTTGAATCTTAAAATAGTGAGAGTAGGGGTGTTCACGGATTGGGTTGGGTCAGTTATTGGTCAAAATCAAAACAAAACCAAACCAAATATAATATACATTTATCGGTTTGGTTGTTTTCGATTTTGGTTTGGTTTGGTTCGGTTATTCGGTTATTAACCATACATAAAAATAAAAGAAACAATTCATTCAAAACGTTAAAAAAGTGACAACAATCCATTCAAACGAAAAAAATAGTTAAAATGACTGGCATTACAAAACTTTGGATCATTGAATTTACTGAATAAAACTTCAAAATTCACTATTTTGGCATAGAAGGAAGAGACAATGACATTTTCAGTCCCACAATGAATTTGCATAGATACTCATATACATGAAACCAATAAGAAAATGTTCTCACCTTGGACATTGTTTCTTTCACAAGTAAATTATAAATAAATTTTGATGAAACATATATAAAATCTTTAAAATTGTTTATGAATATAATATATTATGTATGTATAATCATAAAATTTATGTATATAACTTGTTGGTTTGGTTCGGTTATTTCTTCGATTTTTTTGAACAAAACCATAACCAAACCAATGACTATCGGTTCTTAACAATCTAAAACCAAACCAAACCAAAACCCAAATTAAATCGATTTATTTAATCGGTTTGGTTTGATTTTTCGGTTTGGATCGGTTTTTATCCAAACCATGAACACCCCTAAGTGAGAGTATTAAAATGGGACATGTAGTAATTTGGTCTATTTTTTTTTATTTTTGGAGAAATCATTAAGAAGAAGAATATTGTTGATCTCTCTCTCTCTCTCTCTCTATATATATATATATAAACTCTCACCAACAAAGTGGTATTTTAGATAGCTATTTTAATCGTTGGAAGGTATTTTTGAGCAAAAAACGTAATGATAAAAATATTTTTGAACAAAAAACATAATGAAGAATCAAACTGATTCATTTTAAATAGTTCAAGATATATTTGACATTTTTCAATAAATAAATAAAAATTCGGACATACACATATTTTTGACCAAGTCTAAGATCCTTATCAGAATCACAGGATCTTCAAGTTTACAATAAAGAATCACGAAATGATTCAAAGTCTCTTTCAATATTCATGGGTTCATAACTACCAAAGCCACTTTAAAATGCATATATTTCATGACACATTCTCTACCCATAATACTCACCACATATATAGATATATAGCAAATTACTTTCCACATCTTTTTGTATTTTAAAGATTAAATTAGATCGAATTGTTTACTTCTAAATCAGTGGCTTAGAGTAGTGATTGATTGAATTTGTTAATAAGGTTTAAAGACACGCAACTTATATAATGACCAAGTAACAGGAATGTTATTGCTAAATAAGTGATGAATGAAAGCAATAAACAATAAAATAACTACTAACAAGGATTGTGGTGGAGTGGTAAGTACTCATCCATCCTTAATCAAAAGGTCTCGGGTTCAAGCCCCTTTGGGTACGGAGTTGCTTTTGTTAGAAACCACTTTACCCCCAATGTGGGACTTCCTGGAGCGAATGGGCTCAAATGTGGGTACAAAATAATAATCAATGTGTAATCAAATTGTGATGGGATACAAATGAGAAGACTGGGTATTTAAAACAAAAATAAAACAATAAAATAACTAACGAGATGAAAGTGACTAATATTATTAGTAAACTTGAGAGCTCTAGTTGCAAAATAATAATCAATGTGTAATCAAATTGTGATGGGATACAAATGAGAAGACTGGGTATTTAAAACAAAAAAAAAACAAAAAAATAACTAACGAGATGAAAGTGACTAATATTATTAGTAAACTTGAGAGCTCTAGTTACAAAATAATAATCAATGTGTAATCAAATTGTGATGGGATACAAATTAGAAGACTGGGTATTTAAAACTATTATGGATTAAAAAAGGTTTAACGAATATTTTATTTTTATTCTTAAAGACGCAACAATAAGCTACATTGAAACTACGATTGAAAATTCATTTTCACATGTAGTAAATCAGAAAAAAGATCTTCATTTTCAACCTGTCTTCAACCTCGCTAACTAGTCGTACTTTAATTGATACTATTTTTTGGGATCAAAATAATTACATGACATCATGTGAAAACTAACAATTACAAATTTTGGTGGTGATAAATTGAGCGATAAAGAAAACTATACTAAAAGTACATACGGAAAAAACTAATATAGAAAGCATAAAACCTATTAGAAGATTAATTTTCCCCTAAACAATACTCAATTCACTAGAAGTAGGAGTATATCACAAGAGTGTAATTATTTGGGAAAAGGGTCTGAAAAATACTTTAACTTTGGTCGAAATTGTTGTTACGATACCAAACTTTGAAAAAGACCTTTTACCCCTGTACTATTTAATAGTGTGTTTTAAAGGTATATATGTATCTACGTGGACATCATAAATATTGCATCATTTTAAATAGTAATGTGTCCATGTGGGCACATATATACCTTCAAAATACACTATTAAACAGTGCAGGGGGGAAAAGGTCCTCCATAAAGTTTGGTATCGTAACAACAATTTCGGCCAAAGTTGAAGTATTTTTCAGACTCTTTTCCCAATATGCCAGGACGAATATGTCCACTCCCACCCCACCCCCTCTTCATTAAACCCTGCATGGAAATTAATTACTCAAAACAAATTAGGACATTGGTCCTAAAAATAATTTTGGAAAATTGTGCAACTATTAATTCAAAATAAATGTTATAGCTATAGTTTCATTTAATTCCAATATGCAGCAAACTTCTTGTCATTCGCCTCTCTCCCCTTTCTCTGGAATCTCGCTCGTCATTCCCCTCTTTTTCAGTCATCTCTCCCTCGCATCTCTCACTTTATACAAACATAAATGTATAATTTGTGTTAGTGTTTGTATAAAGCGAGAGAGACCGTATATACAAATACAAATACATATTTATCTGTTCTATACACTTATAATTATACAAATGCAAATCTTTTCCTGCCCAGTTATATTTTGCCTTTCTCTCTCGGTTTATACAAACACAAATTATACAAAATACAATGTATAATTTGTATTTGTATAAAGTGAGAGAGAGATTTGATATACAAATACAAATGTTTTAACTCGATTCAACTGTATACGAATTCAAATTTTATGCAGATTTACAAACACAATCATTGATACATATACATAGTAGTTACATATATATAATTATCTAGCCGATATACATATACAATTCACCTCTCTCCACTCTCTGCCCTCTCTCGCTCACCTCTCTTCTCTCTCTCCCAATCTCGCTCGCTACTCTAGCCTAACACAGAGAACATATACATATACAAACACAATTTGCATGGACACAGACTAATTAGCGTCTAAATCTGTGCGATTTATAAAAATCAGATGCTCCATAGCAAACATAATTTGGCTATGATGGGCAAATAACAAAACTGTAGATTAGAGCACTAATATAT